GGAGTTGTCAGGGAGTGTAAAGAAAGATCAAAGAAAAAGAAAAGAAAGAAAGGCACAAGTGTGCCGAGTGTATGCATCTCTATGCAATTAAAACAATAGCCAAAAGTATAAGGCATTGTTTTGGTTGAGTGTGTTTTCTAAATTGAGTGATTAAACACCATATGTTTCCTTTGTGTTGATCCTAAATCATACCACATTTCCGCTAATTCCCAACAATTTTCACTACTGAAGAGCAGCAGCCAGCAAGCCATACTGGCTATTCCCTTGTCAACAACAATAAGTCCAGACCTGCTTTGCTGGACTGGGACTGAAAGTGGCAAGTTTACTGTTAAATCAGGATACTTCTACGAGCTTAACAGAAGAAGTGATGATAATGGGGGTGATGAGGCTAATTTCTGCTGGAAAAAAATCTGAAGTTTAAAGATCCTAAGTAAACTCTAAGTCTTCCTCTTGAAAGTAGCCCACAATATACTTCCTGTAGTAGAGCGAATTTGCAAGAAAGTGAGGAACCAAAGTAATGAATGTCCCAATTGTGGAATGAAAGAATCTATTAAGCATATGTTAGTGGACTGTTGCTGGGTGCAGAGAATATGGAGCAATACAGACTTGGCAGACTTGTTTTACCAAGCAGATGGGAAGAGGTGTAAAGAGTGGCTTGGTATGATTCTAATTATGAAACTTCAGCTGAGCAGATGGCAATGATGTGCTCTCTTTTGTGGTTCTTTTGGAAGGAAAGAAACAATTTCTTGTTCAATAATAAATTTTTGCAGGAATGGGAAGTGTTTCCAAAGGCAGACAGGTTCATTCGAGACTTTATGGAAAGGCAAGGATCACAGATCTGTTGACAAAGAAGGGAGAAGAAATTTTAAATGGACAAAGCGTCCAATTGGAGTTTTTAAACTCAATACGGATGCAGGTGTGAGTACAAAGGGAAGCACAGCCTTGGGTTGTGTTGTCAGGAATTGGAATGGAGAGGTTGTCTTTGCTGCAACCTGTGTTGATTCTGAAAGATGGGCTCCTGATGTTGCTGAAGGGAAAGCTATTCTCTATGGCCTCACTAAAATGATTGAGAAAGGAGTTGGGCCTCTGATTGTGGAAACTGACTGCAAAAAAATGGTGGACTTGCTGCAAAATAATGTCGAGTACAAGACTGAGGTTGGGAACGTTTGCAGGGATATTAAGGAGATGGTTGAGCATACTGATGTTAGAGCATGGAATTTCACTTACAGGTAGGGCTGGGCATGCGGGCAGATCATCCGCGGGTTTGGGCCGACCCACCCGCATTTGACCCGAATTTCGTTAAGTGGGTGGGTCTATGGGTGGATGACGGGTTGCGCTGGGAGCCATCCGCCGGGTGGTGGGTGGGTTGTGGGTGGGTGCGCGGGTGACCCGCTCAACCCAACAGCAAAAAGTTCAAAGTCGTCAGCGCTAGAGAGGGGAGAGTGGAGACGTTAGACATAAACTAGGACTGCTCCTGGAATTTGAACCTCAAAGCCAACCTTCCAAATAGCGATCCCCTCTTCTTCCCTTTATTCTTTCTTCTAGTTCTTGTGCCTAGATCACTGCTCTTTCCTTTGTGGAATTATTTTTCTTAGTTCCTTGCACCTGATAATCATCTCAATCTATAGAAAACTCTTTCATAATAGAATTTCTATCCATTTTAAGAACTAATTCGACATTTTTCGCCCTATTTCATCTTCTTGTTTCCCCAGATAACTCTCTTCGCCTATTATCATGTCAAGTTGACTCCTTTATATTATATACATTGTGATGTGGGTGAACCCACAAACCCACCCAAATCATCCACCATCCGCCCGACCCAACCCGAGACTAAATGTGGGTGGGTGGTGGGTTAAAAATTATCAATCCGTTTAAGCGTGGGTGGGTGCATTTTATTGTCAAAGTCCACCCAACCCACCCAATGCCCACCCCTACTCACAGGGAAGCAAACCAAGTCGCTCATATTATTGCTCACTTAAATATCGACTAAATTACACGTTTGGTCACTCAAATTACATAAAACTTTCGCATTTGCCACCCAAATCACTTTTCTTTCTTATTCGCCACTAACTTTACAAATTATTTCACCGTTAGTCACCGTTAACTCCGTTAGTTTTTTGATGATGTGGCAAACAGAACTGATGACTAGACTGTTAACTTAATGAGATGGCAATTTAAAAGAAAAAAAGGACAATTAGACTGCACAGGAGTAGCCTCACCTTCCCCTCCATCCTCTTCTTCGCCTTCCCCATTTTTACACAGAACAATAGAGCTCGTCGATGGGTTCTTCCTCGGTTGCACGATTAGCCACCGGGCCGACTTTCTGGTCCGAAATATGCCAGTCCGGTGGTGGTTATTTGGACGGCTCCAACCAGATTTTGAGCAGGCGCTGGTTTCTCGATCAGAACCATTGGCCTTTCAGGTTTTCGTGGAAGATGGTCAAAGATTTCAAAGAAAATCCCATCCCACCGCAACAGCTGAAAGAGCGGGTTTTTCCACTTCAGCCGCGATAAAATGACAGCGCTGAAATCACAACCAACGGACGAAGTCGGCAGAGCCGTCGACAAGATCTCGACTCTGCAAATGAGAGTGGGAGAGGTCGAGCTCTTGTAAAGTTCCACAGAGTCCATCGAGCTCGATTGGGATTCTGCCGGAGAAGCTATTGTATGACAAAGTTAACCACTTTAATTTCTTCACAATAGCTAACAACGCTCCCGAAATAGGAAACTGGAGGTCGTTCTGAGTCAAATCGAGGGTTTCCAAAAGGGAGCAATTACAGAACTCGATTGGGAACCCGACACCCGAAAAACGATTCCGTGAAATAATGAGCTGGGTCAAGTTCTCACACCACCCGAAATCCAACCTGGGGAAGCTGGTGGTGAAATTGTTGATGGAGAGATCCAATACCTCAAGCGACGGTGAAATTGCCGAACCGGAGATTCACGCCGGGGATTGTGTTGCCGGAGAGGTTGACTGCGGAAAGAAGAGAACATAAGCTGAAAATGAATACGACGGGAGGGTGTCTGAGATGTTGTTGGCCGACAAATCGAGCATCTCTATAGCACACTCGCAGGAGAGATTCCCGGCGGTGAACAACTTCGACTGCAAAACTAGCCTAGTGAGAGAAGGAAGCCCGGAGATGAGCTGAGGAAGTTGTAGAGAATCGACGAGGCCATCGCTGGTTAGGTTTAAGGAAGTAACGCGGGCGCTGGATCAGGAGAAGCCGAACCACGAACAAGCTCAACCGCCGTTGAAATTAGAACTCAGCTGGACAAAGGCTTGTCGGGATTGGAACTACAGAGCGAAGAAGATGCGAAAGGAGCTGCTCCTCTAGTTTGTTATGGAGGAAGGCGAAGAAGATTGTAGATGGGGAAGGTGGGGGCCACTCTCCGCTGTCTATTTTTTTTTAATTTTAATGTTTTTAAATTGACATGTCATTAAGTTAACGGTCCAGTCAGCTGTTCTGTTTTCCATGTCATAAAAAAACTAACGGAGTTAACGGAGACTAACAAGGGATGGCAGGCCGGGGCCCAAATTCGGGTATCCGCCCGAAGCCCGCCCGATAAGGGCCCATGTGGTTGGTGTTCTCTGGCCCGTCAACAGGTGGCGGGTAACCTGAAACCCGTCAACCATGGTTTTCGGGCGGTGGTGGTTAGCCCAGTATCCGCCCCCCGACCCGCCCGACGGCTTAACCGTGTAAAAAACGACGGCGTTTGGAGTTTGTATGGTGTTGAAAGGGGTAAATATCAGACCATTATTGATGGTAACCTGGGGAGGGTTTCAATTACAACTGATTTGTGGACTGCCAGAAATCAGAAAAGGGGTTATATGGTTGTAACTGGTCACTTCATTGATAACTCTTGGAAGCTCCGTAACATAATGATGAGATTTATGTATGTTCCAGCCCCTCACACCAGTGAAAGGCTTGCTGATAGGTTGTTTGATTGTCTTTTGGATAGAAACATTGATGGTAAGTTGTCCTCAATCACATTGGACAACTGTACCACCAATGATTCCATGATTTTCCACATGAGAACTAAGCTTCTGAGCAGTGACTTGTTGCTTGATGGTAAATTGGTTCATATGAGGTGTTCTGCTCATATTCTGAATTTGATTGTAAGGGATGGTTTGGATGCAATCAAGGATGCTATAAATTTGATTAGGGAGAGTGTAGTTTACGGAATTCTACACCTAAGAGGGTTCAAACCTTCTTCGAAATTGCTAAGCAACTTAAGCTGTCTGTTGAGAAAAAATTAGTCCTTGATTGTCCAACTAGGTGGAATTCCACCTATCGTATGCTCTCTGTTGCTATTCCCTACAAGGATGTTTTCTTTCGTTTGAGTTTGAGAGACAATCATTACACATCAGTTCCTTCTAGTGAACAATGGGAATTTGCTTCTACTGTGATTGGGAAGCTGGAAATCTTTTCTGAGATTACTGAGTTGTTCTCTGGTTCCAAATATCCGACTGCCAATATGTTCTTCACTAAGATATGTGATCTCAGACTTAAACTGAATGAGTGGGGTCTTGATCCCAATCCTGTGATTTTTGGAATGGCTAGTCAAATGTCACTGAAGTTTGATAAGTACTGGGATGATATCCATCTTGTGCTTGCTGTATCGGTTGTTTTGGATCCTAGATATAAACTCCATGTGATTGAATACTATGCTGGAAAGTTTGGGAATACAGAAACTGGTTTGGTTGCTGAGAATACCAAGCAAATGATATGTGGTTTGATTCGTGATTATCAAACCAAAGCTGAGAACAAATCTGGTTCTGAAACTGGAACTTCTTCTTATGGTTCTGGATCTGCCTCTGCCACTGAACTTGACTTTGAACTCTTTGTAAGTCAAAGGAAAAAGAGTAAGACTTCCTTGATTATAACTGAGTTGGATATGTATCTTGCTGAGGATATCATTCCTCGCACAGCAGAGTTTGATCTGCTCTTGTGGTGGAACTTCAATGGTTTGAAGTATCCGGCCTTGCAATCAATTGCAAGGGACTTTCTGGCAATCCCTATTACTTCTGTGCCTTCTGAGAGTGCATTTAGTTCTGGTGGGAGGTTGTTAGACCCTCACCGGAGCAGGCTGCATTATTCGACTGTGGAGGCAATGATGTGTACTAGGAGTTGGATAATGGAGGACATGCAACGAGGTAAAATGCAACTATATCTCTCAAGTTTATTGGTTTACGTTTTAATAATAGTATGAACTCATTCAACTGGTTCTCTGCAGATTCGGAGGCTGCTGTGGAGGCATTAGATGGACTCTTCTCAACAATGACACTCGAAGATACAACTGTGGAAGAGGCAGAACCTGGTGGTAAGATCAATAAATCATTTTTCCATAATGTGTTCTAATTTCTATTACTTCATTAAGGAATACTTATATTTGCATTGTTTCGCTTTTTCAGGTCCAGAACTCACCTTAATGAGATCACCATTTGCCCATGAAGACTGATTGGTAATCTGCTGTGGGACCAAGGTAAATGTCTTCTTCATTTGTTGTCGTTGATGCATTATTCATTTAGTCTTTACTAACTGAATCATTCCTCTTATGTGTACTTTATTCAGTTTCAATTGATGATTGCTGGTCTGCTGGTTTACATCGATTGGAATGAGGGTCAGGGGTGGTCGGGTGGATGATTTCTCAATGATTCGATGTTGCTGGAACCTAGATGGAATGTTGCTGCGTTGCTGTTGCTTGAACCTATTTCATTCTACTGTTTTTGGATAAGAATTAGACATTTAGAATTTTGGGAACGTCCTTCTTTTTGGTTGTTTGGTTCATTTGATTTGATCATTTCTATCACAAACACGAAACAGATGTTGTTTTGGGATGTTGTTTTTGGTTGTTGTTGCTGAGCTGCTTGGCAAGCTTTCAGTTGGTTATTTCAAGTCTTTTTAACAGACCAGTCAGTATGAATAAAGTGTCCAGTTTCCAGAATTTTTGTGTCATTTTCATTTTTATTTTCATGGTTTGGTAGCGGGTATTATAGACCCGCGGGCACCCGATTAACCATTGGGGACGGTGATGGTTATCCAACCAGGCCCGCAAGTCCGTTTGGGCCGGGGACAGGGATACCCGAGGCCCATGGTGGGTGGGCAACGGATCCAGGGTACCCGGCCCCGATCCGTCCCGTTGCCACCCCTAAGACTAACGGCCGGTGACTAACGGTGAAATAATTTGTAAAGTAAGTGGCGAATAAGAAAGAAAAATAATTTGGGTGGCAAATATGAAAGTTTTATGTAATTTGAGTGACCAAACGTGTAATTTAGCCCTTAAATATCCCTCCCCATGTTGTTGATTTTTTTTTTTTTTTAATCCATGTTGTTGATCTTATTTGGACAGATTGTTTACCCCGAGTGGTAACTGATGTTGTAGCCTCTGATTGATTCTCTTTCAATGGAAAGCAAGCATACGTTTTTCTCTAAAAAAAAAAAAAAAAAATAATAAATAATGGCATTTCCATCCGATTATTAATTTATTATTCTATTATGCTCAACCGGAGATTTGAGTATTTCTGTATTTGACTATTATTCTCCGGCCACCGTGCTTCTTTGTCAGCGCCGCGCCCATCTCATTTCTTACTTCTTCATCAAGCAATATCTTCTTCAAATGCACCCCGCGACCCACCTGAAGCTCCATCTCCGATCTCACTCCGCCGCCTTAACCTAGAAATGTTCTCCAATTAGCCGATTTTCCTTTCCATTGGGTCACCGAAAAGTCGAAATGGTGCTGCCCTTGCTAAAGCTCGGCACCTTAGCAGTCAAGACGCTGAGCAAGCCGCTGGCTAGTAAGCTCAAGCAGCAAGCTGCTTACCACCCTAAGTTCCGCCAAATCATCATCAACATGGCGCAGGTTAGCGTTGAACCCGCCATTTCAATTTCTTCTTCAAATTGTTTTCCCCTTTTGCTTAATTTCGTGAAATTTGGGGATCAGTTGAATCACCGAATCTCGACGAGGATGCAACGGCGGATCTACAGCCACGCTACCGATGCGGAGATTCGGCCGTTGAACGAGGAGAAAGCTGTCCAGGCCGCCGTCGATCTCATCGGCGAGTTATTCGTTTTCACGGTTGGTCTTCTGTTTCGATTTTCCATAATTTACTTTTCATTTACTTTAGTGGGTTTAAACCTTTGATTCGTATGACATGTGAATTGATGAATGCTAAGCTGGAACTCTATGTGGGTTGAATTAGGGAGCAGTTTGAGTTGGTAGAGTTTCCCCAAGAGCAGTCAGCAGCCAAGGGGTAGAATAGTGTTCACTTTGTGCACAGTAAAGATACTTTCAGCCTCTCTGCTGGCCGTCCCATTAAGCTTTTATGTGGAGGGGATTGTGGAAAACTTGTTTCATAAGGGTGAGATATATATCTTTGTTTAATGGTGTGAGAACTTGTGTGGGAAACCCCAGTTGCAGACTTTCTACCAATGGTCTTATTCTCCTCTAATCATTGAAGCTAAAAGGGACTTTCTCTATGTTCCCAGCACGTTGTTCTGGTTCAGTGTGGTCCTTGTAGACCTGTAAACTTTAGCTACTAGTAGCTGCAATCTGCTGTCGGAAGTAGAGATTATGCTGTTAATGGTGTTGCAGGTTTGGTCCTTGTAATGGAAGTCTATGTTGAAATGGGTTGTTTGGACAAGTTTCTGATGAACGGTCTTTTTTATCTTGCTTAGGTAGGAGTAGGTGTTCTGATCTTCGAGGTACAAAGAAGTTCTAAATCAGAGGCTCGAAAAGAAGCAGCAAGGTTGCAAGAACTAGAGGTACTTGTTCGACAATAATATGCTTCTGTTTTCTTTATTAGGCTAATGCACATTACTATATACGATTTGTATCAGTTTCCTCATTTCCGTACTTGTCCGTCCACCTTTTCAGTTTAGTTATATGTTTCTGCATGCAAAACTATCTTGGTACTTCATGGTTGGAAATGAAAAGAGTGAATTTATCTGTCTCATATGGGGATGTCAAGTTTGTTTGTCATTTGTCCTTGAAGGGCTACCAGGATAATCAAAACTCTATAGTGAATTGAAAAGAGCACCGTCTTTGGCTAAATGAGCTAGATGAATATATAGAAAGCAGAAGGAATAGCTATAGATTCTCGATCAAGAAAGAGTTGGAAAGATAGAAAAGGAAGGAAAGCGAAATAAAAAAAAAAGGATGGAAAGAGAATGATCGATCTGATCCTTGTGATAGTTGTATTCCAGCATTTGGCTACTGGTGCTTTTCCAGCTCTGGTGAAGTAATAGCAGTATCTCACTATTCTGTAGAGGACATGGTGGACTAGTGAAGGCCATCGCTGATTTCTTCTGGAGAGCAGGGTTCAGCTTGTGATTGATTAATGTGAAAGGAAACATTGTCCTGAAGGAATAAAATTACCATAATTCCAACCCCTTTTTCCTTTTTGGTACAACCAGAATCAATTCCGATGGTCCAGTTACTTTTAGACTATTGCAACACTCACTTCCAATTCCCAAATGTCTTTCTGATCTTAAACCTGCCATGTTCTTCTATGTGTTAGGTTTGATCTCTTGCGTGATTGATGCTTACCCAACATTTCAATCAATCTGCTTTTGTAACCACTGATTGATATCTTCTGGTTAAGTGAGATAACTATGCCAGGCTTTTTATGTTCTTCAAGCTGAAGAATTGCTATCTTGACTAAGACGCTTTCTATTATTTACCGTGCTAGGAAATGAGGCAAAGAGATGAAGACTTGGCAAAAGAACTGGAGTCTTTGAAACAAAAACTGGATGAAATCGAGCAGCTTGCCAAGAGCAGAGGACTCAGTGGCATTTTCCACTTGAAACCCTCAAGTAAAGAACACGAGAAAACAACAAAACCAGCATAAAACAGCGCAGAGAAAACTTTGTTTTTGTTCCTTGGGATTCTCTGTAGAGAGTCGTACACTGATTGACTGATACATCATACACAACAATGTGAAAGTTCAGATTTATCCCCTGCCAATCATAAACAATGGTCGGAAGAATTTACGCCTTAATTCCCTGGACTAAGAATGATTGATTTCAGATGTGCATCATGAAATCAGTTGTAGGAAAATGGAATTGGAGAGAGTGCAAAATGCCAGCAGTGGGTGGCTCGAGCCTAGATGCTTTTCTTTCTTGCCAAGTTTCATATTGTTGACCTAACTGGTTTGAAGGAAGGTTGAGATTGAATGAGTTTCTGTTGTGCCTTGTCTGCACCCGAAGATATTTATCAGGATTTGGAACAGATATATTATGGGATGGCTGTTGTTGGTACTTTGGTCTCTGGTGTTTTTTTGGAATAGATGCTTTTGTCTTAAATTCCTTCTGTTTAACAGGTTTCCATTTCACTCCTTAACCAATCCCGTACCGTCTATCTTTCATGGAAAAAGGAAGGAGATGCTGATCACCACCACCAGGTACCCTTTTCAAGATTGGTAGATGGCCTTGGATTGTCCTCGAAGGTTCGAACTGGATAATCGCAAATTCGCAATCGCTTTAGTAATTTGGAAAGAGCACCGTCTTAGGCTAAAGGAGCTTAGATGAAAATACAGAAAGAGAAGGAATAAGTACTATAGATTATCGTCCAAGAAATAGCAGGAAAGACAGAAAGTGGAAATAAAGGGAAGCAGGATGAAAAGAGAACGAACTGATCCGATCCGGGTGATAATTGGATTCCACCATTTGAGCAAGTATTTTGGTGTCTTTCCGGCTCTCATGAAGTAATAGCAGTCTTCCACTGCTGCCCAGTAGAGGACATAGTGGACTAGTGAAGGAAATCACTGCTTTCTCCTGATTAAAACTTGAAGGGAAACCAAACCTTCTTCTGATGGAATAAGATTATCATAATGCCAAACCCTTTAGCTTTTCTGGTCCAACCAGAATCAATTCCAATGTTCCAGCTACTTTTGGACTATTTCATTTCAACACTCGCCACCCATCCCCTAATACGTTTCTCATCTTTCGATCAGCCATGTTCTTTTATCGGTGTTAGGTTAGAGTCATACACTGTGATACACAGCAAATCATAAACAATGGCCCCGGAAGAATTGATGCCTTCATTCCATGGAAAAAGAAACGATTAGATTTCATATGAAACAGGATCTAGTGTAGGGGCAAAAAGGACTTGGAGAAGGGCAGAATGGCAGTAGTGGATGGCTGGATGCTTTCTTTCTTGCAAAGTTTCTTCTCTTACCTAACTGTATGGTCTGAAGGAAAGCTGAGATTGCTGGTAAGCCTTCTCTGGAGAGGAAGATGTTTTATCAGAATATGGAACAGATAGATTAGGGGATGTTTGTTGGTATTGCTGGTCTGTAATGTTGTTTGGAATAAGATGCTTTGTATTAAATTCCCGTGTGTTGAACAAGTTGCCTTTTCATTCCTTAACCAATGAGATAACTTGCATGCAGAAATGGAGGAGATGCTAATCGGTGATCACCACCACTAGGTGCATTATTCAAGATTGGCAGCTGGGCAAGGAGTTTAAGACGATTGGAAGGTAATGGCAATCAATTTGGCTTGGTTATCAAAGAGTAGGTGTAAGCACGCTTCTTTTCCATTCATAATTGTCCGATCGAGAATCAGATAATTTTTATACCCGCAAGATGAGTAGTTGTGATGCATACATTGTGCAATATTTGTATAAGTTTTAGTGATTTGAAAGTCATTGTGATATGGAGAAAATGGTCTATTTGTTTTATAAAGTGGTTGACCAAAATTTAAGAGAATGGTCTACTTTTTTCATAAAATGGTCAAACACTTTTTAAGAAAATGGTCCACCGTTTCTATCAAGTGGTCCACCATTTTAGTGAAGTGGTCTACCACTTTCAACTAGCGATCGACCTGATGACACATTTACTTTCAACTTACACCCGCTTGTTGGAAGAGGTAGACCGCTTCCATCAAAAGGTCTATTTCTTTTAGAGAACGGTCTGCTGCCTCTGGCGAACGGTCAACCACATGGCACAATTATATTCCACTTACATTAGGAAAATAATGAAAAATAAGAAGTCTACGATATAAAATTGTTTTGTAGTAATGCAAAGCCCTATCACCCGTGGCCAACAAAATCTCTAAGCATATTATAAACATAGACAACAAAAATAATACCCTCTTTTAACACTTCTAGAATAAAAACTCATAAAAGCAAGGTGATATTAGATTTATGGACGTTGAACATGACAAAATTGTATAATAATTACTCTGCTGTTTAAGTATCTTTATAAAAAGAATAGCAACAAAGTTGATCTATCACAAGATAACTATAGGATAAAAACAAGCAAACTTAAAATTTGAAGGAAAGATGCAAATCTCTATAGAGTAAGTCAAATCTAATAAATAAATATGCATAACATTTTCCAAATCTATGGGAGAACAATCACCCGAGAAATTTCACATTTGTACTAATTTTAACCCTCTTACCAACAAACATATACATTAACATTGGACTCTTCTATCACATATGATGATATCATTAACAATGGTTCATCAGGTCGACCGACTATTAGAAGCAGTGGATCACTTGATAGAAGAGGTAAACCTTTTCGTGAAACTAGTAGACCGATTTCTTGAAAAGTAGTCGACCACTTAGTTGAAGAGATAAACTGATAACACCAAAATTGTGTTATTTACCTTGCATTTATCAGACATTTTTGTGTTAAAATGATCTTTAATTGTTTTACAAAGCACCATTTGCATGGCCTTTTCGTTCCTTTTCGATTTCTATACTATTTTAGGATGCATTTGACATTACGAGTAAAGACGGGGAGAAAATGGGCAAAAATGTATAGAGACAAGGAGAAAGCCCAGACAAGGAAAAGATCTCAACCGAAGGGCTCAAGTTTCCCACCGCGAAGATGGGCTGCAAAGTCTTCTAGAAGATCGCGGGCCAAAGCGAGAAGATCACGACCGCGAAGATGAGAACATTGGACGCAAACTTTGGAAGGAGGCGGCGCTGGGAGAATAGAGAGTTTCCCCACTCTCTTCGCGGGCAACGTGGATGTTGACCAAGTAAAAAAAATTGCCCCCGTGACATAGTAGTTCGCGGCCGTGATCTCCCGTCTTCAGGCCGCAAACTTGCCCGAGATTTCCAGCGCCTATAAATAGAAGAGTTGCCGGAGTGAAAGGGGAGAGCCGTCTCAGAGTGAGAAAATTAGGGTTTTGGAGTGCTTTAGAGAGAGAAACACTTTGGGAGAGATTCATTGAAGATCCATTCAACCCAAGGAGCAAGGAGAAGAAGCTTGATTCCATCATTCTCCTCTTCTAATTTGTCTTTTTTTTCCTTCTCTCTAATGACTTGAAGCTCTAGTGGTTGTTGAGCGTAGATGAACCCTAGTTGTAGGTTGTGAATGTTGGGTTATGAATGAATGAATGTGTTTGCCTAGTTTGCCTAGTTGACCGCAGTCTTCCCTTTTAGCCTGCTTTATGCTACTGCACTGGGTACGAAGTTCTAGGGTTAGACGGGTATGCGCCATTTGGCGAGTTTAGGTTAGATGTGTGAATGGGTGTTTATAGTAGTCGAGGCAACCGAACCTCTGCTATAGGTGACTTTCTAGGTGAAACCTGGGATAAAACCTCAGTGTGCACGATGGATAGTGTCCATTGAAATGAGCCATATACTTAAGGCCCCCAGATACGATAGCCTAGATCGAGGTGACTGGAACATGGGTTTAGGGGAGGCGTACTCGGAGGCGTGTGGATAACGACGAATGCCCACGAACAAGAGCTCACTCACCACATTCGATTAACTCTACTTTACAACCTTAGCTAGGTGGATTCGACCCTAGGCAACCATTTTATCTCTAAGAGTCCTCCCAACCACTTGGTTGGTTGTTTATTTTACCTTAGAAGTAGGTTAATTTAGTCAAACAGCCCTCACCAAACTTCCATCCCGATTATATAGTAGTTCGGAGCGAAGTAATAATACACTTAGGGATCCCTTGGAATACGACCGAACCACTTTACTACAATCCTGGCTTGGTTATACTTGGCTTAGTTAGGATTAAATAGAGTGTGCTTCTAGTTTATAAATTTAAAACTCGATCGCGCACGAAAGCACTGACTCGTTCTAACTACAACATCCCAATCACCGGCCAAGTACAATTGGCGACCGGGAGTAGCATTGGGCAAGTAAGCAATAATAATTTATCGTACCACGGGGATCTAGGCTTACCCTACTTCAGCTTTAGGGTTCGTTATCTAGCCAACCTAGGATAGCGATTAGGAAAACTAAACTAACTAACCTAGACTACCTAGCTATTTACAAGGTTTGGGAGCTCTCTTGGGTTAAACCCCCTATTTCCGTCCTTTGGATTGTTGTTGAGTATCCTCTTGGCTAAATCAACTCAAATACTTTACCGTTAGGAGATGGACTCCCTCGGGAATGACTCGGAACGACGAATCGATGAATGGGGTATGCTCTATTCAACCTAGGGCAACCCTATATTGTAGGAGATTGATGGAATCGAATCCCTCGGGGATTACCCGGACAATATAGGATGAGGAGTGACCCAAAAATGCCAAGAATGGGCTATAAGGTGATTTTCTCCCTCCTAGGTCAAAAGCTTAATGCATGAAAATGGAAACCAAACTCAAGTCATTCATGAAACCTTCCATCAAATAAGTAAAATCATCAATCAAACATGGAATTTGTCACATACATCAACAATGAAACAAAATCTAGACCTAGCGTTCTTAAACCCAAGATAAGAGGGTGAGTTTCTAGGGAGAGAAGAGAGAAATTTCAAATTGGAGCCCAATATCTTCTTCTTCTAGGCTTGATTCCTTGCTTCCAAACTTGATCAATGCTTTCAATTAACCTCCAAGATCACTCAATAGCTCACTCTCTCTCTAGAACTCCCCTTTGGTGTTTTGGGTCGAAGCCTTAGAGAAAGAAATTAATTCCTCTCCAAAAACCATCTCTCCTTTCTCTCGCCCCACTGTTGTCTTTATATTTGCCTGACAGGGCCGAGTTCACGGTCTTAGGCTTCAGTTCACGGTCTTAGAGACCGTGAACTAATTTGAGTCAAGTGAAACCGCAAACCGCGTTGGAAATTGGTTAGTTCACGGTCTTAGATACCGTGAACTGAAACTACATCCCGTGAACAGTACTCAACCTCCACTTTTTGGCTCGTTTTGACCTCCGAATGACCCGAAACTCGTCCCGGACCTTCCCACTCATGCTAGGACTTGAAATGTACCAAGAAATGAGGGATAAAATGTATTAAGCAAAACGAACAAGAAATGAGGGATAAAATGTGTACAATTGGGCCCGAATCACACCCCTACACTTGAACATTTGCTTATCCTCA